TGTTCTCTGTCGACGGCTGAGTTGGGGGCTAAAGGACAATGACTACAGCCGGGACCGTTTTCCCCCTCGGCTAAACCCTTCGTGACACAGCGGCAGGCGCCTCCAAGTTAGCATAAGATTAGCTGAGAGAGCTAATGGGCTAATGGGTTCATAGCTGGGTCTACAGTAGGTCTACTACACAAAACTACTAACTTTGTCACCGTTTCCTCTACTCTAGACCAAGTTTGGGAAAATGTAGCTGAACTCATCTGAAAGACCTAACACACTTGATCTCCCAGCTGGTTTGGCTAGCGGTGGCTAATGTTATTACCCGTCACGAATTCAGCTAACCCGTTCGCTTCTTCAGCTAATCCTTCCATTACTGCGTGCGCCACGGCCACCTCTAGGGCTGCACACACACACACAAGCAGCTAGCGCTCCCGAGTTCACGCTCTCGCTGCGAGAGTTGCGATTGGATCCAATACTATCCGGATTGGCCGGGATCGGGTATCGTGGAATGAATTCACTATTCACGGGGCGATGAGTACAACCGGCGTGGCGGGGCGTGGCGGGGCGTGGTGGGGCGAAGAGGAGTCCTGCAGGCCAGTCCGGCATTCCTTAGCCTGCTGCACCTCATCGGGAAAGGGGAGGAGGGAGCGAGAGAGGGATTGGAGAGAGAGCGAGAGAGAGAGAGAGGAGGGTAAGGGAGAGGGGTAATGCAAGGAACCCCAAGGAACGGAATAAAATGGAATACAGCAAAGAGTCATCTTCCGCCTATTATAATAACAAGGTGTTGAGAGGAAGTGACACATTTCACGAGATAAGAAGTCGAGATAATCACACACCGCCTTTTCGCGACTTTTATCACAATATGGTGATAACAAAGACATCAAAATTTTTATGGGTACCTGTTTCCATTCAGCCGTTCTGACTGACGAAAGCAATATGCGTTGTACACTCTGCGCGCGGAGAATGGAGGGACGGACATTCGCGACTCCTTGGTACGTACTCCGCGGTATCCATTCTGCATGTTGCGTGACTTCCGGTGATTTCCACATATTTTTCCCTAATTCATCGATGCATCGAAGATCTAGAACAAAAACGACGTTCGATAAAAACTGCTGCGAAAAAGTGAGTTGGCGGAGTTGGCAGTTGGCTTACCCGTACATACCAGGTGGCTGATTCACGCCGCGCACTTTCGTAGTTATACTGTACCGCATGCACGAGTGCGGGCGGGTTTGCCTATGCTAGCTGCCCACGGCTCCTTATAGCCCCGTGTGAGTAGGCAACCCGCCCGCACGCGTGAATACGGTACAGTATAACCACGAAAGTGCGCGGCGTGAATCAGCCACCTGTTACATGGCCAGCGTGTGACAACCATTGTTGAACACTCTTGGCTTCTACAGTATTTCAGAGACATATCACGTGTCTATTTTTTTTATTCTACTTCCAAAATCAACTGTGAAAAACTAGCTGTATAAGTAGAGCAGACACAAGACCACAAATATAACTATTGAAAGCTGGAATTATTTTAGAATTGCCTAGGCAGGTACGGAAAAAAATACTTTAAAAAAACACGCACAGTGGCAGCGCCCATGCAGCCGGCGCACAGCAGAAAACTTCACTCAGCCGTCTGTCTCGATCTGGCTCTGGATCACCGGGTACATCGTATAATTAGAATGGTAGTCCGGAGGGAGAGGGGGTCGGAGAGAGGGGGGCGGGGAGTAAGAAAAGTATATACGTACCGGCACCACTGACCGCGGGGGGAAGAGGCTTGGGGGCTCAAGGGATTCGCAGGAAATAGCAGGAAGATTCGCCCCCCGGCAGGACCGGGCTGTAGCGGCACCCGAGCGCATAGACGGCGGGAGGCTGCGCGTTCCTTCCGTTCGACAACATGTAGTATACGCCGCCGTCAACGTCCGCCGCGGTGCGTCGCGTCCCGCGCTGCCGCGGGGCCCGGCCGACAAAGGGGCGGGCGCATACAGACGAGCTACGTACGGCGGCGCCCCGCCCCGCCCCGCCCCGCGCGCGCTACTGCTCACGGCAGAAGTAGGTTAACACCTCGCGCTCGTCTCTGGTCCAACTCTTACCGCACTTACGTATTATTTATTGGACGCGGTCGGTATTTACAGCGCATTGTTGCGAAAGAGATAAATCATAGGAATCGGAGTATGTACGGCGCTGCGGCGGCTCGCGGCACACGGTTCGGTTCTGTTCTGCCCCGCGCGCCGGAGGGTGAGTCTCTCCCCCCCGGGAGAACCTCCCGGTTAAAGTCCTGTTACCCGTCCGCGTCAGCAGCAGCAGCAGCCCTGGTCCTGGTCGCCACTTTGAAGGCCGACGTGCCGCACATGTTCCTTTTTGCGCGAGCCCGGTGTGCGTGCGTTTGCCTACCCCCCTCCGACCGTAAGGCACCGTGTGGCCCCTGCGGCCCGAGCGAGTAGGCATTCCCGGAGACACTCCGGAGCGTGCAAACGAGGGATACGCCCGGTGTGTTCTCTGTCGACGGCTGAGTTGGGGGCTAAAGGACAATGACTACAGCCGGGACCGTTTTCCCCCTCGGCTAAACCCTTCGTGACACAGCGGCAAACATCTCAAATGTGAGTTGATGTAGACAAGTGCAAGCTGTGTGCGTGTGTGTGTGTGTGTGTGTGTGTGTGTGCACTTGCTTGCAAGGCACTGCTACGATGCTGTTCCCTATGCGCTCGAGGGGGGGGGGGGGCATCTGGGAATGGAGAGTTTGTGTGAGGAAAGAAAGGAAAATCACGAGGGACAGAGAAGGAGATAGAGAGAGAGAGACACGTTGAAGATGAACTCTTTGCAAAGTTGCCGCTCTGCTCTGACGTGCGCAGGGCCATAAAAATTGTCCTCGGTGCGGATGCGGAGAAGGGGAGGGGGGAGTTTGCTTTGCTTTAGTTTCAAAGGGCGAATTAGGATAAGTGCCGCCCGTCCCGTTGGTTTACCTCCTCCCCCCCCCTTCCCCCACGTAGGCTGGCTATTCTGCACGATTCCCACGTCTGGCCCGCCCCCACCCCCGCCCCCGCCTTGCTCGGCCCGGGTCGCCCGGGTGGTGGACAGCGAGAGGCCCGGCCAGGCCTGCACAGGGACAACAAAAGGAAGACGGCTGCAGAGAGGTCTGGGGCAGGGGGGCGGGGAGGCGGCCTGCCACCAAAGGCCTAGAGAGACAGTGCGACTCAATATTAGTATATGATTGCTGCCTGCACCCTTTTGAGAGGAATAGCGACAAACGACGAGCCGCCATGGAGGCCGCGTTGCCAAACGTCCCGGGTAAACTGTCAACATTTCCGAAAATGAAACAGGAATCTCTTGAACAGGTTCGCACTGGCGTGACGTAACAGGAGGTCACAGGCGAAATGGTGGTGAGTCCTGCCACCGCCACCTCCTCCGCCGAAGTGCACCCCATGGAGGGCTACTTCCGGGCACCCACAAGAAAGCATCCCAGTCGCAGGGGGGCGAGCGCCAGCACATCCTCCGCGGGAATGAGATCACGGGGAGGCCACACTATCAATGGCGTTGATTCCGGTGTGACCTCTATAGCGGTCACGACGATTTCGAATTTGGCCCCAGACCTGGAGCCTAGACGACATCCGGCGGTTTTGGCCGCTGGTGCTGCTATACGTCTCATTAGAGATTTTGAAGGTCCGTATCAGCGAATTCCCATTAAGGTAAGAGAGCCTCCACGGAGTAAGAATACATGGTTAGAATACATTCTAACTCCGTGGGGCCTCTGAACATAACACGACTCCGCTCATCTTGATACCCAACTTATATCCATTGGATAGGCCAACACCAGGTACGGGAGTATGTTCTGGCCACTGTGGCTCGAAGCGGCTGTCCCCGGGCGATTACAGAAGTCGCCAACGCGACCATGGTGTACGAGCGTACTTCCACTTTGCATTGTTTTTGTTTGGGTGAGGAGAGGAGGGGTGTGAGCATGGGCTGTGACGAGTGGACTTATAGTCTTCGGTTCGGATGAAGCTGCCTGCGGCCGTATCAGATGTAGCTGTAGTAGCTATACTAGCTACAGCTGTGAAGTGCATAGCTACAAACAGGAATGCTCACCAGCAGGCAATGATCATATATGCTTTAGCGCATGCTACGCGCTGGGTGGTTGGGTAGGCCAACCCGCCAAGCAGCTGTGTGAAGACGGCGGCTTCAACACTTTGAACGGAACTGGAAGCGAGCAGCAGCCTCAGCTGCAGCCTGTTAAAACATATGGCATAAATTTATTGCATTTCTATTATTTACTTTTTCACTTGCTTCATTTGCTGAATTTTTGGGGGAGGAATGCGATGGTAGGACATCCCGAAATGTGATCGGTTTGATCATACAGTAAATATTTTGGAAAAAACGGAAAATGTCGTATGCACTTTCACGCCCCTACAACGGGTTTTACACCCCTTGATGAATATGATATCTCACCTTTGTTTATCTAGTGCGAGCAGGATGCATTTTTACTACGGCTGCACCGGACAGCCAGACACTGGTCAAGAAAAATAACAACGCGGTTGAATGCTTTTTGGCTTGGCGGGCTTTGCACTTCGGCTCATTCCGGTAAATTCGGGTTGAGCTCGCTGCCGCCGTGACCTGCCTGATGTCACATCCGTGCGAGGCTCGGAAAGAAGGTTGGCGTTCCTGTACTTGTCTGCGAACAGTGATCACAAGAAGACAAGAACTTCGATACCGACTAGTTTACCACAATATTTACTTTATTTGGGTGTTTTTGTAAATACGAAATAGTTAAACATTGCTCCTAGCTCCTCTTAATTTCATCGCTTGATAGATCAAGACCACTGACAATGATGTCGTTGCAATCTAATCCGCAGGTAAATGTTTTTAACGTGTTCCAGCGGCTACTTAACCTTAAAGCTATGTCATTACTTCAGCTGTAGAAATCTGATATTGTATTAAATACCCGATTTGACGGTCCTCTCGGTAGTTTGAGATGTATTGAATTGTTTTGATTCATTCTACATCTCTCAATGCGTAGATGTATTTCTTATATAATACCCATCTTGCCTTCAAAACCCAGCTTGAGGGCTGAGGGTGATGTAACACTTACATTGGAGGACAGCCTATTAAAATTGTAATTACATTGTTATCTCTGTTTCTGAATTTTATCAACGTCTGTTTTTTGTGATACTTTTTTCAGATCTTGTTATTTAAAATTATTTTATCTCTTTCAATACCAGCAGGGAAAGAGTTAACTTTCTAGAAAATTTATAGCGCATACGCATACTTCCATTGTTGTCTTAATGTAACATAACATTTATTTTTACAGCTGGTGGTGTACCACCTTTACCAACTTTCAAACAGTCTCTCTGCAAGTACTACAGAAATGGTCAACAGCTTAAGAACTATGTGTACCCATAATGTTGATTCTCCTGACATATTATGCAAACAAAGCTTGGAAGAGGTGACGATCTATAAGTTCCTTTGTAATAATTATTATTCATGCCATTATTATCTTCTGATCCCCCACATCATGTTTTTTTACAGAGTGCTAGAAACTGTAGCGGTAAAATGATTATGTATCTTCCCAAGATTTATAAACAAAATAAATCTGCCAGTAAGAAATTTCACCCTATCAAAAATACTTCAAATGGAGAGGAATTTAAGCTGGCCGTACAGTTGCTTTCTCCGATCCAGCCTCTAAGGCTGAAGAAGAAGTATCAAGCTCCTTGGGAAATTTCTTTTATTTCTGCAAATACTTTTGAAGAAAATAAACGAAATGGCTTTCAAAGAGGTCCATCCTCTAGTCCACATACCACAACTTATATAATGTCATCTAGGAATCTTCACCCAGCTTTACTTCAGTCAAGTAGTCTTGGTATGTTCCAGAAAAGTGGCCTAGTTTATTGTCCATTCTTTGTTTTTTTCTAATGTACAATTTTTCCAATAGCCTGTCAGAAAAGAGGGTTCAAAACAGAACGAATTGCCAACAGAGAAAAGGAAAGAAACAGTGGTGTTTTCAGTCAAATTGCAAATTTGTTTCGACCTTCTAAGCCAGAAATTGCCATTAAACCAAATATGGACAAATTTGCTGATACCAAAACAGGTATTTACTCAGCAATATAGAATCCCTGTAAAATAAAAAAATAAAATAAAAATTGTACTTCTTAGAGATTTTAATTTTTATTGATTCTTTATTTTAGTTGAAGCTGTTACTTCTGCATGGATGAAGATCTACGAGGGTGGTTTCAAAGCTGGTGAATCAGCAGAGCAGCGAAAAAGAAACCGAGGGTACTGGATAATTGGTTTAGTTCTTTTGAGCACTTTTGTCTCAGGTACTAAATGTGGTATTTGTTGCTATTTAGAGAAAAGCCTCCTCATATGATCCTAATAACATTTTCTCTCTTGTTTGTTAGTAGCCCGACTGTTCCTTAAAAATTTTCCCTTCAGGGAGCAAATTAAAATAGTGTCTCCAGAAGAAATTGATGTAACCTTTGCAGATGTGCGAGGGGTAAGTAAGAGTTTCATTTTTCAAATTATTGAAGTCAGTTTTACATTTCCTTCAGTTTTTTACAATCATCTTTTGTTTAATGCACCTGTTTCAGAGTGAGGAGGTCAAGAAAGAACTTGAAACAGTTGTGAATTTCCTGAAGAATCCCAAAAAGTATGCAGCTCTTGGGGCAAGATTACCGAAAGGTCTGTAATAGTTTTAATCATATCTCTGTGCAATTTTTGGAGTGGATTGCTGAAATTCTGTTTGTGTAGGTGTTCTTCTTGTTGGAGAACCAGGAGTTGGGAAAACATTACTTGCCAGAGCAGTTGCTGGAGAAGCTCGAGTTCCATTTTTCTATGCTTCTGGATCAGAGTTTGACGAAATCCTGGTTGGAGAAGGTGCTCGGCGGATCCGCAACCTTTTCCGTATGTAACATGGAAAGAATCTAAGACGCACACATTTTAGTATTGTAGCCACTTCTAATATCTAATAAATTTTACAACCAGGTATTGCTAAAGCAAATGCTCCCTGTGTTATCTTTTTGGATGAAATTGATTCTGTTGGAGCTAAAAGGACTAAATCATCCGTTCACCCTTATGCAAATCAGTCAATCAACCAACTTTTATCAGAAATGGATGGGTATGCACCTAGCTCTATTTATTTTGACAACCGTCAAGGGAACGAATTCTAAAGTGAACTTTATTCTTTAGCTTTCAGGCAAATGAGGGTGTGGTAGTACTTGCTGCCACCAATAGAGCCTCAGAATTGGACAAGGCTCTTGTTAGACCAGGACGTTTTGATATGTCCATTCAGGTACAACTCTCAAAACAGCTTCCTTCATATTTCTTATTTTATTTCTTGCAGAAGTACTAAATTTTATCTTATCCATAGGTGCCCTATCCTCGAACGCGTGACCGCCGTGACATTATTCAGTATTATTTGCAGAAAATTGCTTGCAGAAACATTGATATTGAACTAATTGTCAAACTGACTGCTGGCTGGAATGGAGCAAATCTTGAAAATTTACTAAATTGGGTTTGTAGGCTGAGCTTTTTTCTGTTTGGCTGTAAGTTTGCAAGTTTGTTTTTACTTATGTTAATTTTTACTTTCAGGCTGCTATAATAGCTGCTACTGAAAACTCAGAATATGTAAATATGCAACACATAACTAATGCTTTTGATAGACTTGTTCTTGGTAACTATCTCTGGTTCTCATTGAATTTTGAAAAGATACATGATGTCCGTTGTCCGTTTAGCAACTACTTATATTTCTTGTACCGACAGGTGTTTCATGGGGATCAGGAGACATTAGTGATTCAATGAAAGAGACAAGGAGAGTAGCCTACCATGAGGCTGGTCATACACTAGTGTCACTGCTTACTCCTGGATGTAGCCCCATCCACAAGGTGACAATTGAAGCTCGAGGGTCTTCATTAGGACATGTAAGTACCTTGCTTTACATACATACTTGCTGAAATTACTTTTACAGCCGTGTGTAGTTTTTTTTTGCGTTCTTCTTTGACATGTTTGGGTGCTAACTTTAATTATTACTTTCACACAGACTGCGTCTATTAGAGGTGATGAGCTTCTCCCCACCAAAGCTGAATTCAAAGCACAGCTTGATAAGTGCTTTGGAGGTCAAGTAGCAGAAGAGTTAATTTATGGATCTGACGAGGTTTCAACAGGCTGCGCATCAGATTTGGAGGTAATTTTGGAATTTACTTTGATTGAATATTCCCATCATTAATATTCAGTGAGAAATGAATTAAAAAATTTTCTGTAAACCTATCTTATTTCAGAACGCTACCGAAATAGCTTCAACTATGGTAAGAAAGTATGGCATGGGAGTAATTAACCGAGCTATTCATGACTCAGAATCGCTTAGTGGAGGAGCCCAGGATAAAATTGACACTGATATTGACAAACTTCTTACTGTAAGTACTGCTTAGCAGTCATTGTTTAACAGGGTACTGCTCGGTCTAACTGTTTTTTTTAACTGTTTAAAGGAATCCAAGGAACGTGCCAAAAATGTCCTATTAAACCATATTACTGATTTGCATAAAATAGCAGGGGCACTTTTGGAGTACAAAACACTGACTAGAGCAGATCTCATGCAACTTCTTGGAAAAACTGATGTAAGTTTTTGACTAATTATATATGTCACTTACCAATGTGCTTAGTGCGATTTCTTACCTTAATAGTAATGCCACTGTCTGTAATGTTTCAGGAGGTAGAATCATCAGAGAGCAGTAAGCCTTAGTAAAATACATAACCATTTTTTTTCGTTTTTTTTTTTTTTTTTTGGTAATGTCAGGCTTGTAAAATAAACATAGTTTCTTTATTATTCTCCCAATGTATAGACACCTCACAATTGATTACAAGAAAATCCCTGTTCTATGGATTCACGTGGAATTAATTTTGAGGATTCCTGCTGTTTTGTGTAGTTTCATAATTACAAGTTTGCCAATTTTGGGGAATAGTTTTGGGGGCTGCTACATATTTTGGCTTAAAATCCGCTGAGCACCTTTGTCATCTTTGACATTATTTGAGTCACTACCCTAAGAGTTGTACCCACTTTTGGTTGATGTTATAGAGTGGTGTACCATGCAGAATAGTTGTTCTGTTTAGTGAAACCATGATCATCTTAGCCACCAGCACCACTAAAGGCATAAATTGGTGAAGGGTAAAACATCAGTAATTTCCTTAAAGAGTTTTGTGTGCAGATTTTAAAAGCTTAAAAGTTTTGCTACTTTAAAGAAAAATTTAATTTGGATCTTACAAATATTTTTTAACTGTAACTGCATCTCAGCATTGTTGATTTGATTCATGAGAATTGGGTTTATTGCACAGTGACATCAAGTCAACATAAGTCCTTCCTTTCTCATCCTGTCTTATTGTGAATTGTGTTCCAGTCATCAGACTCTTTCACACTACCCAAAAAACTATCATATGGTGATGAGTTTGGGAAGTGCTCCTCCCACCAAAGTTGATAAGTTATGCCTCCTATAGTCATTCATTCGAATACGTATTTTGTATCTGTTATTGTTGCTGTCTAGTTAGAAAATAAAAATAAAAAGTGTGACTTTGTTCCATTTCCCAAAGTGGGCCATCCCTTTCAACCCCAAATTCCAAAACTCGTGCGCACAAAGTGCTGGTGTGCCCTGCATGCATATCATCTGTTAAGTTGAGAAGCCATCGCCCGGGTCATGGCTGAAACACCTGGCAGCCCAGCACCTATTCGTCACTAAATTACCGCTTTTTGAAGACAAACTGCGCTCTTTTTGCGCTCTAAAATGTGCTGGTGTCCTACCTGGAACACCAAATGAACAAGAGTCCCTCACTTTACGCCGTTTTTGAAATGCACATGAAAGGTAACACTCACTAAACGCATTTCATTCGCATTCACTGCGCACTGCGTGCATTAGGAGTGTTACGTTTTCTGCGCGTTTAAATGTGTTGTCGCTACATGGGGGACACCCACGAAAAGACGAAATTAATTTTGGAATCGCACTTCCCCCGCACCCAACACTATTCGCAGTCAAGAAGTAAAATATGGCTGCTGCTCATAAACGGCTCATACGTTATTCGCAGATTCAATGGAGTAGTTGCAGCCAGCAGCAACAAACGCAACGCTGTCGTCGTCTTTTCAACTTCAGCAAATTTTGCATTTTGTCCTGATAGTAATTCAATTGTGATAATCAGTCATGGGTCATAAACACAAGAAGGAGAAAAGGAAACATCGCAGCAGGAGTCGTTCAAGATCCGTTGAGAAAGAAAGGGAACGGGAACGGGAAAAGGAAAGGGAAAGGGAGAGAGATAGATCTAAACATCGTCACCACAAGAGGCATCACAAGGATAGGAAAGAACAGAAACGTTCTAGAGAAGAAAGTCCAACATACATAAGTTCCGGTAAGTTTTTTCTCCGTTTCTTTGTAACATGGGGTACCCTTCGTTGTCTCTGTCCGGGAAAACAACAGGCTAAAATCTACCTAACCTACAAAACTAAATTGGCTGAATTTCGTTTTGTGTCGTTTGCTTGATTTGACAGCACATCAAAAATTCTCCCATTGTATAATAAATTTTGCCCATGGTGAATTAATTACTGTTATCTTTCCTTGTTTCAATTCTTGCGAAGTGCTGTGTAATGTAAAGTTCATACTTAAATTCTGTATGTTAATTTACTAGCTGCTATTTTATCAATTTTTCAGAATCGCTCATAAGGGTGGCAGTGCCAGTATGGCCAAGGTAGAGTATCAGTTAATTAATGCTAACTGTTACATGCTTTGAGGCCCCTCTAAATTTTTTGATCGATAAAAAGTATGGGTTCCCTAAGGCAACTTACTCTATAATTATTCTTGTATACATATTTTGCTTGATAAAGTTTGTCTATATGTATCATTCTCAAACATTATTGCATTTTCTTTGTTTTGAACAGATGATGACTGCATTGTGGTGCCACCACCACCAAAGATATCTCGACAGGCCACACCACCCCCTCCTCCTCCTCCAGCGATATCAAATACCTCGTCTGACAAGTCCAGTTCAGGAGCTGGTGATTCACTGTCAATTGAAGAGACAAACAGAATACGAGCCAAATTAGGACTGAAGCCTCTTCAGGTTGATGATAAACCCACATCAGTAGAAGTTAAAGCTGACAATGATTACAAAAATTCAACAGAGAGGGCTGCGGCTGAGGCTGGTTTGGATGTTATTAACGATGATCTTGGAGAATTTGTTCACAAACCTGCAGGTACTAATTTCTTAAAATATTTATGTGCTTTTTCAATTGCTTAAATCTTCACCCTTGACCTTTTTAAATTTTACATTACAGAGAATCTTGCTAAGAAGGTGAAGGCAGATAAAATTAAAGAAAAATTAGCTGAAAGAAAGGCAAAACGAGCCCTGGAACAGAAATTGGCGAGAGTTAAAAGATTGGGTGAATCAAGCAGTGATGAAGAAGATAGTGCTGCTGCATGGGCCGAAAAGAACCGCAAAATTGTCAATGAAAAGCAGCAAGCTGAAAAAAGAGTCAGTATCATCTTTTGTGTATAGCTTTATCTTTGTTAAGTTATGCATTAACGTTTCTTTTTTTTTTTCTTCAGGCCAAGATGCTTGAAGAAATGGATGCAGAATTTGGCATTGGGGAACTTGTTGCTGAAGAAATTAAAACTGAGAGGCGTAATGTTTACGGGGCCAAAGATCTGCGTGGCCTTCGTGTAGAACATGACTTGGTATGTATGATTATTTCCAAAGTAAAAGATCATTCTTATTCTAATCTTTGTCTCAATGTGTTTTCTAACTTGGTTGTTCTATGTTATAATTTCAGGGAAGCTTTGGTGAAGGAAAACAAGTTGTTTTAACCTTGAAGGATCAGGGGGTCCTAGAGGAAGAGGGAGATGTACTGGTGAACGTTAACATGGTAGATGATGAGCACCACAAAAAGGTATGAAAAATATTTCAATGTACCATATTAATTTTTAACATCCCAATTTCATATAATCAATATAGTTTTAGTATGAATATTTGATTTGTTTTTTACCTTTTAGTTTTTTAACTTATTTCTATCTAACTTTTACAGAATATTGACAGGAGAAAACAAAAACCTGGTTACAATGCATATGAAGATGAGGAGGATATGGATACACTTAATGAACCTGAAGTGAAAGTCTTGTCTAAGTATGATGAGGAAATTGATGGAGCAAAGAAAAAGAGTTTCACTCTAGGTCAGTATATAAGAGTAACTATTGGCCACATATTAAAGATGTATGAGTATCATAAAACTAAGTACAGCTCTATAAAAAATTATGGGAAAGGTTCTAATTTATTTTCCATTTTGCAGGTGTGGATGACTCACCAGCTGCAATCGCTCAAAGAAAACAAGAAGCCCTTACCATTAAGAACAAACTAATGAAAAAGAAATTGGAGACATTAGCAATGCCAGCTCCTAAACTTGCTTCAGAGTACTATAATGAAGAAGAAATTTCTACAAAATTCAAGAAGCTTAAGAAGGTACTGTATCAAACATCTATCTATCTATCTACATCTATCTATCCATCTATGTAAGTTACTTCTTCTACTCTTAATCCTCTTCATCTTCTTGTGTAGGTGAAGAAAGTTCGCAAAAAAGGAATTTTGAAAGCTGACGATTTGGAAGCCTCAGTCAAGGAAGAAAATTCTACCAAAGATATGGGGTCAAGGCGAATGAGATCACGTATTGTAGATGATGACGATGATATGAAAGCACCTCCTCCTCCTCGTATCAGTGAACCAGATGATATCATTAAAGAAGAACCTATGGATGTTGATGATTTCCCAGGTAAGTGATTCTCGCTACCAAAGGTATAATTGTATATGTTTGCTCTCTAAATTAAATATGATGTGTTGTGTTTTGTAGCTTTACCCTCTGACTTGGGCACTGTAAAGATTGAGGCAGATGAAGATTTAGCTTTGGAGCTTGCTTTAAAGAAAGCAAGAAAGTTAAAACAAATGGAAGCTGCGGAGGAAGCAGCAAGTGGAGACAAGGTAAGTAGGCAGCAAGAAAGTACTTGTTGTCTCATCCAGCTTAGTTTTAACATTATTTTGCCCTCGTTTTTCAGGTTGTGAAAATGATAGTTAGTGAAGAGTATGAGCCTGCATTTGGAGAAACTGGACCTGGTGGTTCTATTGTACTCAACTCTACTGCTGAATTTTGCCGTACTCTGGGAGATATTCCTACTTATGGTCTGGCTGGAAACAGAGATGAGGATGCTGAAGAGTTACTTGTAAGTCGTTTTCTTCTTGTCAATCAAATTTAAATTCTTTAAAGAAATTACCTCAGTTTCTCCTTAATGTTTTTATTTTCTTTCAGGATTTTGAGCGAGAAATGATAGAGGAGCAACGCCGTAGGCAGGAAGAGGATGTTGGAATACGGGGTGCTTGGAATGAAGTTGAAGGAGGCAAGTATCTCATTAAATATTCTTTCACCAAGATTATTTGATCCTATTTACATTCTTCCGTGCATTCATAATCAACTTACTCTTACTGTGACTTTTTACTTTCTTATGTCCCATAGATGAGCAGCCTGCTGAAGTAGAAACAACAGAAACACCCATTTTGGATCCTGAACCGGATCTGGGTGGTGGAATGGCAGGTGCACTGAGACTTGCGGTCAGTAAAGGTTATTTGGAGAAAGAAATTCTGAAGAGACCTTCAGCGTCTAGATTTGCTCACTTACAAGCACAAAATTATTCAATCGATGACAAGGCTCATGTGTAAGTAAATTCTGATCTGCCTCTTAAACATCTAATAATTAGTGAAATTTAATTGAAAGAATTCATTTATTCTACAATAATTGCTTCACAGGGAGGATGACAAGTTTGGAAGGCGTGAAAGATATGCCGGTCCAACTTCAGAGTTCAAAGATAAAGACGGTTATAAACCTAATGTCAAACTGGACTACATTGATGATGAAGGCCATGTATTAAATGCCAAAGAGGCATTCCGGTAAGCATTTGCACCTTTTGCAATCACAAATGTACATTGAAGTTTTCTGTTTTGGTTGGTATTGAAGTACTGAATATATCTATCTATTTTCAGGTATCTTTCTCACAAATTCCATGGTAAGGGACCAGGAAAGAATAAGGTTGAGAAGAGGATGAAGAAAATGGAGCAAGATGCTGTAAGTATTTTTTTATTCTATTAAGTTATGTATTACCCATGCCAACTGTGTTTCTCTCATTTTTACTGACAAATTATTTATAACTCTATATCTTACATTTTCCTTTATAGTTGATGAAACAAATGAGCTCCACTGATACCCCTCTGGGCACTCTCAACATGCTCCAGGCCAAACAGAAAGAGACCCAGTCTCCTTTTATAGTTCTTAGTGGTGGCAAGCATCAAACGTAAGTTACTTTTTAAAAATTATTATTAATTTTATTTATGGGATTTTTGAGTTATTCTACTGACCAGTACTTTTTCTTAAATATGAATTTGGTTTTTTCACTTTTGTTAGTAAAATCATTATTTTCCTTTTGCAGAACAACTATTTCAAAAACAAAACTGAGCAAGTGAAAATTTTTCTGAGCTATCATCTCGTGTAGGTAACTTGTATGGTTTAATACATAATTAATCTTTCTGCAGTGTCATTGAATCAACCCCCTGTTCTGACCTTTGTACAAATTTCTGTAAAGGATTAAATACAATTATGAAATAAAATTGATCTTGTTATTGTTTACTCCTTGTTTTCTTTGATACTCTCTGTAAAAACAGTTTTAAAAAAAACTGTAAAGGTTTTGATTGAGAGAACACTCAGCTTGGCATATAGCCTTGACAAATACCAGTACATAGTACGTATCTAGTTGGATAAGTTGGATGTCTAAAAGTGACGTTTCTAGACAAGTGCTTGTCCAAACTAGATAAGCAACCCACCTCAATATACGAACTTAGGGGTCCAGCCGAATATTTTGAACTTGACTTCTCAAACTACCCCTAAATAATGCTTTGTGCTGTTCTGACTTCCGGGTAAGTATGTCCGTATATCCTCGAGAAAAGTATGCAAAAACAGTACTACGTAATTTTGAACTTGCCGCCAACCTGCACTGTGGCGCAATTTCTCATACTACGCTACCTTTGGTTTGTTGTGGTGACAGAGCCGCGATGATGTGAAAGGTTAGCAGCGGTACACCACACCCTGATGATTCATTGACTACAGTCATGTAATTTAAGTAAATCTTGAGTACTCTCGGTTAAGTACCTAGAGTTAATCAATATGACTCCAAGGGCCGTTTGTCTCGTTCTTGTGGTGATTTTAGTATGTTCAGAAATACCACATACATCTCAGGAGTCTGCAGACATCCTTGTAGGCTGTTTCAAATCAGGAACTATAGCTCAAGAAGCTAATACATCTTTCCACCCATTGAATAGTAATGCAGGTGATAGTGTAAATACCTGTGTTTCAGCATGCTCAACCAACTTCTACAGGTATAGTTTCAGTCATGGTTATTACTAGTCCTTGGTCCTGGAACATTCTGTCAGGCTTTGTTTTTCATCAGTTTGGAATTTGTCAGTTCAGCGTTTACTTTGTGTATCTGTTCTTTCACTTACTTCTCTTATCCACTTTCAGATATGCTGCGCTTCATAATGGTCTGAATTGTAGCTGCAGCAGTAATTATGGATCTCTTGGAATAGCAGAAGAGAGTCAGTGCAATAAACCTTGTCGGGCGAACACAACTCAGATATGTGGTGGGGAATATGCTAGTACTGTTTATGATACCGGCCAGAAAGGTATGTTTATACTTGCAATAAAGTTGCTTCAAAAGAGCTACTTCTGTATGACTATTTTTGTTTTTGTGTTTTGTAAACTTATTCAGCTCCGGGCCCACCTACTCTCCTAGAGGTTTTCAACATATCTCAACATGGATTCCGTGTCTCCTGGTTACCGCCTGCTGCTCCTAACGGGCCACTCCATTCCTACACTGTCACTGCAGAACTATTGAAGACCTACAGTCGCCTTCAGTTGTCCCCTGTAATGTCTTGGACCTATTCAGCTACTGTCAATAGTGCTGATGTCCTTGACTTACATCCGGGGTCTGAGTACCGTGTTAAAGTGCAAGCTGAATCTGATAATGGAGAGGGTGTTCCAGCTCAGCTCTTTGTAGGAACACACGTAGGAGGTAAGGATTGTACAATAACCATTAAATAATATCTCCCTATTGTGCTTTATTGACTTAAAATTATTTGATATTTTAGACCCGGATATTCCAAATGAACCAGAAATTATTCAAAAGCTGGTATCTGAAGGACAAATTCTAATTAAGTTTACTGAGGGGATGTCAGAAAATGGCCCGGTTACAGGCTACAGAGTTGTTGTCATCTGTGGAATAGCTGACTTTGAACCTGACCTCCTCGATTCATATTACAATGCTGAAAAGAAAGGGCTCCCATATTACATTGCTGCCAGTTTAGGACCAAAGGTAAAGAAAATTATTAAAATTTCCCCATTTTTAAACTTAATTTTACTATCTCTGTTATCCATCTTCTAGGCATGGACTCAGAACTTCACTGTAGGAGATGGTCACCGATATGGAGATTATGACAATGTTAGATTGCATTTTGATGATGCTCGGTGCAATGAAAATGACATACAAATTGCCTTGGGTGTGGTGAGTTCTGATGAGAATCACACCTGTATTTCATACTCATCTTTGCACTCAGAGAAGAGTGTAAAAATAATCATGCCTGAACCTAAAGAAGAGGGGCTTGAAAGTGGTCTCATTGCTGCAATAGTTGTTTGCAGTGTTTTATTGGTTCTTGTTGTCATTGCATACTTTGCTGCAAGACACTTTGCCCCTCAAAGGCAAGGTGCATCTAGGATGGAGGATCCACAGGAAATGTGTCTGCAAGGACCTATGATTGAAGTGGTATGTAGCTCTTTGTGATTTTTAGTTTTCTAATCTTTAACAAGTAAATATAATTTTGAATATTCATTGTCTTTGGTTCAGGAAAATTATGGTTATTTGGCTGAAGAAGATGAGGAAGAAAACAGAACTGACCATTATGATCGATTAAAGAAAATTTTGTGGGACATACCTCGCAACTTTTTGGATATCCAATCAAATAACATCCTAGGAAGGGGAGAGTTTGGTACTTTTATGAAGGGGACAGTTCTCCAAAATGGCTATCCAATACCTACTGCAATCCACTGTATTGAGGGTTAGTCACTGACTTATAAGTTCCAGTTTTTAATTTTTGTGCAGTTACAGTGCTTGCAGTGGACTGTGCCATTGTTTTTAATGTCTTTTCTTCTTTTTTATTGTTATAGATGGAATGCTCTCGGCAGCCACCAAGCGTAGCATGTTGCAAGAACTTGCTCTCTTAATTAATTGTGCCACTGGAAATCATTCTAATATTATTCGTCTAGTTGGAACCTGTGAGAGTCCAGAGATGTTGTATGTTGTCCTTGAATACCACCCAGCCACTCTTAAGGATATTTTGTTGGAAAGCAGGACATTGGAACGTCCAGGGTATGACAGAGATCTATCCTCTGTGTGTTCACTTCCTCAACAAGCGTTTTTACAGATAGCCATTGGCATAGCACAAGGAATGGCTCATTTAGCCAACAACAAAGTTATTCACAAACAGCTTGCAGCTTGTAGCATCCTCATGGCAGATGGAATGGTCCCTAAAATCACAAATTTTGGAATTGCAAAGTGCAACAGATCTCAAGTGGTATGTTGTGTAGATATAAGCTCATAGACCATGACAGAAATCTGTTCAATTTTGTTAAACCACTGTGTACTCTTCAGGTATCTGACTTCACACGGTGGACTGCGCGCGAAATTTTCCGAAGTCAACATTTCACAGTGAAAAGCGATGTTTGGGCCATGGGATGTCTTATGTGGGAAATGGCAGCTTTAGGTACGAAAAAAACTGCAGAATTTGTTTTAAAATTTGTTTTCTCTAATAGTTGTGGCGGTAGTATTATTAATGGATTGTCCTCGTCTCTTTTTGAACTTGATCTTGATCTGAACTGTTGCAGGGGGAACTTTATACAGCAATGTTCCTACTGCAGAAGTAGCTGCTCGTGTTATGAGAGGTCTGCGTCCACCTCATTTGAGTCACGTGTCTGATGAACTATACCAGCTAATGTTGCAATGCTGGCAGCTGGATTTGGATGAAAGACCAGATTTTTCTGAAATTTCCGCTAGTCTATGTGAACTTATTAACAACAGTGAGGTAAGCAAAACTCTTGAAACAATTGTGTGCAAGTATTTAGTGTTTACTGCATACCCACCACAGTACGCACCATTTTCTGTATTCCATTGTGTACAGATTTCTTTTTCTAGAAAATGTGCTGTAAACCACTAATTTTGCATCTCGTTTTTCTGTAATGTCTTCCACTAAAACTCTTTATTTTCTTTACAGACTCATCTCGACTGGAATGTTGTGCCAGGGTTTCAGTATGAGCAATACCTATCTGAGCTAGAAACAATCAGACAGAGGTAGTAGGTTTCCTTTGTTTATGCATTTCTGTCACTCCTGTTATACGGGGCCTGTGGCTTATTCAACAATGCAACTTAACACAATGTGTTTTTTTAATATCCTGTTTGACTTTGTCATGGATTTTAGTTTATCACTTATGTTCTGCTAGCAATTATGTTAACCATTACAATGGCCATGGTGTGACAAGGTTACAGCACGTTGTAAAAAACAGCCCCAAAAATCAATACTATCCAATGTGTTCAAATTCATGAAATCGCACTGTACTTATGTTAATATAGTATTACTGTATACAAGTTTTTTTTTGTATACCGGCAAATTTTACTGCTACGCAACAATGCGTAATTCCAGTAAATTTTTATGTTGGTATTTCTAGAAATTTTAGTTGCCTTTTATCTTGTCAGATTATCTCAATTGAGTTGGATTAGAAAGAGTATTACATTCATTTTTTCTGTGATGGATTCTTCAGCAGAATATGAACTTCCTGAGTTGTATGTATTGAGTTTATGTGGTTAGATGTAAGACAATAGTGCATCATCTTTAAATAGATTACCTTATGTTAATGCACTAATGTGTCAGTCATACAGTAGTTAGTTTTCAATGACATGATTGAAATTTGAAATACTTTTGAGCTCATATTTTTGGCCATACTCATGAGACCAGGTTGAGACTGATTTAGGGTTATAGAAATAGAAATGCCAGTATTTTTAAGTGCTTGACAGCAACAGAAGAAAAAACAAACGAACATGTATTTAATTGACGAAGTACAGTAAAATCCACTTATCAAAATTGTGGGTCTTACTGTAAATTTATAAACATGATCTGATCTTCTCTGAGTGTGGAGAAAAAACTTAAACCATGAGACTTTTTTAAAAACTAAAATACCGTCCAAATAAGTGTGTTTTTAGTGATATTTTCATCTATTTTATTGTTTGATTTTAAGTAAGATTTATTTTACAGATGTCGTTCTTTATAGCACTTTTATAAGACATAGCAAACGGTGTTACATTTAAAACGAAATGAATCTCTATACTGCCATTCCTTAGTTCCCTTTACAATGGGAAATGAACTTAAATAATTTCATCGGGAAGCGTTGTGCTGGAGTATTATATCTGAATGATAGCATTTATCAGTTGTAGGATCAATAGGGGCTTTCTCAAGATAGGTGTAGCCTATGAACACTGTGGTTTTGAAATACATTTTTTCAAGGAGCACTTTCCAAGAAATGTGGTATTCTTGTTTCTTATTCCCTTTCTGACCCAGTTAATTGGTGCTTTTCCCCACGATTTTTTTCTCGCTGTTATGTCTGTCGCCCTCCATGCGCCAATCCCCCCCAGCCGCCCAACTTGAACCGCGCGCCTCGCCCGACGTGGCCCGGTTCGGAACCGTTCGGCCCCCTGGTCCCCCCGGCTCGGCTCGGTCCGTCCCGTCGGCGCGCCGCGCGCTCAGCTCCCGCTCCCGCAAAGCCATCACAAGTTCGTTGGCTCCGCTAGCCGGCGGTCTGGTCGAAAGGGGGCGGGTTCAGCGCCGCCGATCCTCGCGCCGCTCCGCCGCGCCTCCGCGCCGCGCTCTCGCTGCCTCCGCGAGTGCACCGGGCCCCTGCGCCCCGCACCCCCGTGCAAGCGGTTCCAGTGACTAGGTTAGGTCGGGACACTGCCGGTGGGTGTCATTGTTGTTGTTGTTGTTGCTGCTACTGAAGAGGAATCCAGCAGAGTGTCTTGCGTGTGGGTGTGAATGACTTGTGTGTCGCGACCACCACATTCCCGTCCGGGTAGAGGACATGAGCCCATGGGGCTTCAGCCCCGTATATGATCACGACTGGCATCCGACACGAGCCCGAGCACCGTGGCCGGGCCCGGAGCCACTCCCGTCGGCGCACAAGTCTCTCACGGGCTCATGTCCACCCTACCCCCGTGTCCGGGGAATGCCCACGCCTCCTCTTGTCGAATGCGTTTCCGGCCCTCGCTGGACCCAATTCTGCGTCCGGTCGCGCCGTCGCAGTCCTTGTCAATGTGGCAAGGTGGTCCCGTATATGTACCACAGTGAACGAGCGTGCGTCCCTACCCCTTCACCAGCGTGCGTGCGTGTGCGTGTGTGTGTGTGCGTGCGTGCGTGCTGATTGGTTAGAGATGATGTCAAGGTGACGTTACGTGGCCTGTACCATGACGCTGCGACGCGGTCGACGTGAGACGTGAATCGAAGTGACATCTGGGCCGCGCCGACCCTTCTCATCGTTCCATCATCCTCCTCCTCCAGATGGTGCGGCCCGGCCGCCCCTGCCTCGCCCCCCTCCCCGCGCGCGTGGCTCGCGATACCACCTGAGGCAGGCCGGAGCCTGCGGAGCCCGACCTGCATTGCTCCAGTCCCGCGCGTAACGGCCCGGCTCGGCTCCGGCCCGACTCCCGGCCCGACTCCAGGGGCTCCAGTGCGGACTACGTCAACCTCATTCCTCCCCGGGCAGCGCCCGCTGCTGCCTGCCCTGCTGCCGTCGTAGTGTTATGCTTTGCGCCCGCTAACCCCTCCGCGTTCAACTCGTTCGCGTGTCCCGTCGACCCCCCGCCCCTGCCCTCCCCGCCCGCATGTGCGTCAGGAGGGCCTTTCCGTCCGTCGCTGACCCCTTCCCGGCCTGGACCCGGTCCGCGAGTCGCTGCGCTGTTCGCGCACAGCACAGCTGACCGTTGCATTGCCGGGTGAAATCGTTTCCTCGCGATTATTTTTGCTCTGTGCGATACAAACGTCTGTAGGCCGAGGCTGTTCTCGAGGTGCTTTGCCGGAGTGTGGGTTTTCACTCCAATTTATTGTTTACCCTGCAACAAAGAATCCCGCGGCTTGCAGGCTGACAGCGGACACGGAATGCTCTTAGGGCAGCCGTAGCAGCGCTGCACGATTGATTGCGGAGGACTGTCACGCAACTAAGTTCGGCGGGCCTCTCGAAACCCTTGGCGTGGCGGTCGCCTTAGGAGGACGCCGAATGTGATTTCACCTACGTGCGCAGCGGGCGCAGCGCCGCGCGAGGCGAGCAGTGTGCCTGGAGTTCCGGCCCGGCTGCTCGGCTCGGGCAGCGCGGCGGCGCGGCGGCGACGCGGACGGTACGGCACCCTTGGCAATGCCTTATGCAACAACAAGCGATCGCGCCGGGCAATCCAACGCAACGCGAGAACCGAGTGCGAGTGTGTGTGTGTGTGCGTGTGTGTGAGAGTACGTGCGACCGGGTGTGTGTCACACCGACATGTACGTCACATAGGGCGGTCTCCGTGTTCTTCCAGGCGACCTGCACTACTTTAGTGACTCCGAGCCGCTGCCGCGCCGATCCCACCAGACGAGTTTTTTTCCTTTTCGGAGCGGAAGGACACCAGACTGCCGTTGCGGTGCAGGAGTGTAAGGATTTGGAGCCGCGCTCTCTGAACCAGATCAGAACATTGGGGCCCATTTCGCGCGCGGCGCTTTAGACAACACCACCACCACCACCGGCCCTGCTGTCGAAGAAGACACCCTGTTCGACGACGACCGCCGGGGCGCAGCGGCCGTGCTGCTATGCCGACGCGCCGGCGTAGGAAAGGCTTGGCGAGGTAGCAGCCGCTCCAGGCGCACGCCCGCGACATGAAGCTCGGGCGAGGCGCGGCGTGGTGGGCTTGGGTCGTCGTCGTCAGTCTGGTCACGCGCGTGACGGCCCTGCCCTCCACGTCCACCGGCCCGCCCGCGCCGCCCGCGCCGCCAGCGTCCACGGGCGCGCCCGCGCCACCACCGTCCACGGGCGCGCCCGCGTCCTCCAGCAGCTCGACGGCCACGGCGCCGCGCGGGGAATGCCTGCCCGCCGACTGGCTCGGCACCGCCACGCCGCCGTCCGCCACGCCGGAGGCGGCGGTGGCGGCGTCCCTCGCCCTCGAGGCGTCAGCGGGGTCGACCGAGGCCTCCGAGGGACCGCCGCCCCCGGAAGCGACGCCGTCCACGCCGCCGACGCCGCCCCCACCAGGACCCAGGCCCCGGCCGGAACTCTGCCAATGCTCGTCGGACCGCAAGGAGCTCGTGTGCAAGGGGGCGGCCTTCACCTTGGTGCCGTCGAACCTGCCCGCCGGCCTCAGCAAGCTGTGAGTACCTGAGTATTATTCCAGCCGATGCCCGGGCCGTCCGCCCGCCCTCCCCCCTTCCCCAGCTGCTTTCAGATCAGATACGTGGGTGTCTTATGTCTTCTGCTATTATGGGAAACTAGAGCGCTATGATGGCTGCGATTGGTCCAAATCTCGATTTTTCTCACACTAGCAGGACGCAGACACCCTAGATGCCCACATATCTGGACGCTGCCCCCAGCACCTCCCCGCCACGCTTCCGCGCTCTGTCGGACAAGTGTGTCGCCCTAGTTAACATGTCCCCGCGTGGTGCCCGGGTGTTGGTCGTATCGACGATGCGATCGTTTACGCGGTGCTGCTGCTGCTGGAGTTGCTGCGGCCGATACACGCTCGGCCAGGGGCTGCCCTGTG